ACCCCGCCTCTGAAGTGCTCTGTGCAGTGAGCAGTATTACTTGTCTAAACAAACTGCACGTGCTGTCAGTGAGTTCCACCTCTAGGCCACTCACGTGCTGTATAACAAAGACTATAGGGACTTTTATGTATAAAGAAGACCTTCTCAGCCGCTCCAGCAATGGACACAACCAGGAAAAACTATCGGCATGGATTTTTGCTGATAACCGATAGTTTCACCAATCAACTATCGGTGCCGATTAATTGGCAAAACCGATACATATATATATATATATATATATATATATATATATATTATCCACAAGTATATCCACTGGGCTCAAATATTGAAGAGAGCATGTGCTGCTTAACCAATGTTCCCAGTTTAATTTAAAACTGCTAATTTTTTTTTCCTCCAGTATTTTTAATGAAGGTATTTGACTGGAAATATAAACAAACTCATTTATGAGACACTATGTTTCCTTCTTATTATCCTCTAATGAAATTATATTGCAATTCAGTAATTATTCAAAGATAAATACATTATAGACTTTATAGGGCTGTGTATGATTGATATGTATTCTTTGTGTCTCCGCAGAGAAGACATCAGGACGGCTAATGTCATCGCCGCTGAAGCTGTCACCTGCCTCGTCATCGACAGAGAGTGAGTTTTGTGTGTGTGTGTGTGTGTGTGTGTGTGTGTGTACTGATGCTGTGAAATTAGATTAGTCTTTCATCTTTTCCACTGTGTGCTCACTAAATTACCGCTGCTAATTTCTAATGACCTCATACGACTTTCACTGTGGCAAGTTCATGCTAGTTTACGCCAGTTAACTTCAGGGAGCCATTTCTTCTCGTTTGCCATCCTTAGACAGCAGACTGTCGGGAAAAATGTCCTCATTTGAGTGGCACAGCGTGTGACAAAACAGTAGGAGCACAATGCCTCGCTGCACAGTGGGACTCGTAGACCTCCTCTCGTCTCTGTAGACATCGTACTCTAGAGACTTTGATTTTACTTCGGTCTGAGGAAGCGATATAATAAGCAACCCCTCATGCAAACTGTATTTCACTCTCACTGCAGGAATTCGCCCATTATCTCAGCCCTGTCATCAGTCAGGGGTTTATGGTAATGCTCATTAAAAGACTCTTGTTGTTGTTAAATTGTATGCTAGCTGACCTGTGATCAGTGGGGATTTTAAACACTGATTCATGCAGCTGATTTCCTGTAGGAATAGAGCACAACAGTAAGACTCACTATTTATCAGCTTGGGATGGGGAAGTATTTGTACCTTTCATTTTATCCATAGGGATTTCAGAAGAAAAATAGTTAAAGCACGTTTTGAGCAGAAAGGGGAAATTCTGTCATTTCGTTCCGGTCACATACTCTGTTTTATTGTTTGAAAAGATTTACGTTGGCGGAAAGAAATATCTACTGTAACTGGATACATTTGGCAAACAATTACTCAGTGTTACGGTCATTTTTTTAATTTTTTCTAATAATTTATTCGAAAATACATAAAAAATTAAATTTATATAAACAGCTTTTGTGATACATGTTTTTAATTTCTTAATTAAAATAATTTTAATAATATCTTTTAGGCATGAAAAAAATCATAAAATGAAATCGTAATAAAGAAAACAGCATTATATTATATTATATTATATTATATTATATTATATTATATTATATTATTCTTTAAAAACATTAAAGCAGTTTTTTATATTTTATATGCATTATAATATTATATGCTACAATATTTCAGAAACACTTGACATTTAAGAGTTAATAATTCATATTTGTAAAATAAATACCATTTGTATAAAAAAAAAATAGGCTATGCTTTAAAAACTTGTACACTAACATACTTAATATGTAAGGACAATATGTTTTATATATGTGACCATGGACCACAAAACCAGTCATAAGGGTCCATTTTTTTAATAATAATAAATAAATCCATTGATGTATGATTTGTTAGGATAGGACAATATTTGGCAGAGATACAACTATTTGAAAATCTGGAATCTGAGGGTGCAAAAAAATCTAACTAGTGAGAAAATTGCATTTAAAGTTGTCCAAATGAAGTTCTTAGCAATGCATATTACTAATCAAAAATTAAGTATTGATATATTTATGCTAGGTAATTTACAAAATATCTTCATGGAACATGATCTTTACTTAATATCCTAATGATTTTTGGCATAAAAGAAAACATTGATCATTTTGACCCATACAATATATTGTTGGCTATTGCTACAAATAGTAGCACACTTATGACTGGTTTTGTGGTCCAGGGTCACATATTATAATTGATGGTTACACCATTTGACATTGTTGGGGTCTTTGTAAAGCTTTTTGTTTAATATTAAAGCTTATTAAATAAATAAATAAATACACTAAATGAATTTAAAGCTTTTTGTTGAAAATATATATATTTCAAAGTCATATGAAATCAACATGAGTTTTAATATTATATTTTAAAACTAGATTTATGATAGAGTTTTCCGATAAATTTTAGACTCTCTCATTTGTCATGGACCCATTAACTTGTTGTGCATTAAAGCAGTATTTTTGCAGTTATGTTTGGTTCTGCTAGTGAAGCAGAAATTACAGACTTCACCTTTAAGATCCGAGTCAAAGAACTGAATGACCTTTGAAATAGCGTATATCTCAGTGAAGTAGTATTTTAATGGCAGAAATTTAAGTACACATGATTGACTTTGGGTTCACACCCCCAGAACATTTCTGCTACTAATTCTGGGGCTTCACTTGGGACTGTGCTAAGAATACATCATTAAATGGGTCAGCAGTGCAGTGATATAAAGTCATTCACACTTGAAATGTCCATCAAATCATTATTATGGCCCGGGTTACCGCTGTCCTGCCTGACCTCAGCTGCCAAGACTCAAAAGACTGGATAAATCATGGTAACATGATGCTATTACAATTTAAAGCTTTCAGTTAATCCTACATTTCAGCTTGTAACCGTAAAAATGATTGTTCCCCTTTTAGTTTCGATGTTCCTTCAGAGTTCTAATAAAAATATGAGATAATGTGAGAATTCTCTGGTGGATGAGTCACATCCTGAAGCACAGCAGCTGTTGTAATGAGCACTATTACTGGTTCCTTCTCATCTCTTATCCTGTAGCAACATAAAATATTTCTCTGATTTAATAAGAGGACAGGGAAAAAAAATAAACGCTCTTTTTATGTATTGCAGTAAGGGATGACATATTTCAACCACTGGCAAGCTATGACATGACATTAGATGAAGGCAGGAGTTTCAAATCAACATGAAAATAAAATGGACCCATATTTACTTTCTTAATGCATGCAAAACAATTATATTTAAAAATGGACTCTAGATTGAATATATCAAATGAAATCTCCATGAAATTTAAGGAAAAGTAAGTAGGTTATAGGATAAATACTCAATGTAACTTTCTTGTTGATTTATCACATCAGGCCTGATTAGGACACTGCAATTTCAAAGCAACTAAACTATTTATATGCTAATGATGAATGAATAGTTTGGTGACAGAGATGGAAACATGAAGAAGTGTCAGACTTAAAATCACAGTTAAGCTGCAAAAAATGTACTTGAGACTTGACTTAAACCTGTAAAGACTTGACTCAACTTGGACTCCAAACTGAACCTCTGAGCCACATCTTTGCCATGTAAAAGCAATTTTTGGTTCCCCGAATAACCATTTTTATTAGTGTTATGACCATTTTAATAATCTGAAGACATGTTTTACAAAGAGCCTTTATGGTCCAGTGGAAATGACAAAGGTTCGTTGAATCACAGATGCCAGTATTTATATACCTTTGTATACCTTTATTTTTTTCAGAGTGAAGGAGATATATTTTCTCTGAATATCACAAAACTATTAACATAATACAGTGTTGAATCCTATTGACTCCTCCCTTACTGACTCAGTGTATATTGAATAAACTGTTAAATAAAAAAGAGGGACATTAGGGAAGAAAATACATTTTAGTTCAAGTAAAACATCATACACTTTGAGTATGACTTGGTGGACCATATATATATATATATATATATATATATATATTTGATATATCCCTTTTTACTATATCCCTCATTATTTATTTGTGCTGCTATTGAAGTGCCTTTCATGTAGACATTTTATTCTTCTACTCTTCCATGTCCCAGACCCAGATCTTCAGATTTTGCAAGCCAAATCCTTGTCTTATTCTAGAAGCAGAACAAAATGTTCTATGTGTTCTAAACAGATGGGAGAGAGAAAGCCACAGATGTCTTTCCTTGAAATGATGATGAATGGCTGGAAGTTTAATGGGATGAAAAGCATTTGGGATGCACTGTGTTGTGATTGACTCTGTCCTGTGCAGATCATAGATCTACACAGCTTGTAGTCAGATTGTTTGTTCCTAAATGATAATTGTCTGTTTATGGCATTATTCAATACAAATGGTTCCTGAAATGGCACATTTTGTTTCATTTTGGCGTCAGTCTAACATTTTTTTATTAAAATTACACTTCAGTGCAAACGTGCAAAGATGCCATTTCTAAACCTTAGATGGTTTGCAGACCTAGTGCATTAGTATATAAAGTATTGAAAATTACATAAATCAACATTCTTTTTTACATTTGTTCCCCTAATTTTATATTGTGCTGTTGCTAATCTGATGATTCAAGTGCTCATTTATTACTCTACCTTAATTTAGTCTTTTCTCTGACTTGCATATAATTTTTTGCTTTGAACTATTGTGGCTCATGACCAGGGGCAAGTTAACCTAAAATAGTTCTTGATAATATGCAAGTGGCCAGAACTATTAATTGAACAATTGTATCAGCCCACAAAAGGCTATATGGAAAATGAAGAAAAAATAGTGGAAAATTAGTGTAGACCTTTTTCTTTTTAATAGTGCTCGTTAGGCCTCATTCATAAAACTAGGTCAGTATGAATTTCTGATTAAATCATGAAGACAAAACCATTTTGAATCGACCCAGTATCCACCCAGAACCTTTACTTCCTTTACATTGGAGGGCATTTATAAATAGAACGGATGAAAGTAATCAATTTTTCTTTTCGCATTCGCAGGTCCTTCAAACACTTGATTGGAGGTCTGGACGAGTATCCACCCAGAACCTTTACTTCCTTTACATTGGAGGGCATTTATAAATAGAACGGATGAAAGTAATCAATTTTTCTGTTCGCATTCGCAGGTCCTTCAAACACTTGATTGGAGGTCTGGACGATGTCTCGAACAAAGGCTATGATGATGCTGGCGCCAAAGCAAAGTAAGTCTGATACTCAACACTTTCTGATCATGTTATCAGACTATATGGAGCTCTGTACATTAAATTATAATTCAGTATGATTCAATCAAGTACAGTGCAATCAAAAAGTATTCAGTTTTTCACCTTTTATGTTGCAGACTTCTGGTAAAATGCTTTATTATTATTTATTTTTTTATTATTATTATTATTATTTCATACCCTACAATCATAACCTGCATTTATTAAAAAGAAAACATTGAAACATCACACTGACATAAGTGCCATGCTATTACACTTAAAAGGGTAGTTGATTGTGATTTCACTTTTTTAACCTTACTTAGTGTGTAATGTAGCTGTTTGAGGATAAACAATCCTTCGTGCAAAGTTACGAAGCTGAAAGTTCAATGCAAGCGGAGATATTGTCTTTTAAAATTACGGCAGTTTAATGCCTACAATTACGGCTCGTATGGACTACAACGAGTTACTTCTCGGGGTGGTGACATCACAAATCCTGAAATTTACATAAACCCCACCCCCGGGAACATGCAACAAAAGGGGCGGGGCCATATTGCGCTGCTTTAGATAAAGAGGAAGAGTTGTTGCCATGCTCTCATATTCTCAATCGGGCTCAAATTGATAAGCAATATCGACGACGCCACTGTTTACAATACAACCAGAGCACATGCCTCTGAGGTGAGGGGCGTGATGTTTCTGCACGCGCACTAGAGGCGGTTTAGCCAATCACAACACACTGGGCCAGCTAACTGAGCCCATTGCGTATTTCTGAGAGAGGGGCTTCATAAAACCAGGAAATCATCAGAGCATTCATAAGAGAAAGGACAGAGCAGTGCAGAATAAAGGTCAATTATGTGAAAAAAAAAACTTTGCTTTCTCTTCCCTTAATCTCTCCCTGGCTAGTTTGTACTAATCTGAACAATGCCTGAAACTTTGTATAGCAAGCACTTCCTGCGTTTATTTGCTTCTTTATGACACATCGCTTATTGTACTCCTCAATTGTAAGTCGCTTTGGATAAAAGTGTCTTCTAAATGAATAAATGCAAATGTAAATGAAAAATAATGTTTTTTTAAGCATTAACACGTTAGACTGCACCCCATAAACACAATCAAGCCTAGAAAAAAAAAATACCCCTTTAAAAATGAGCTCAGATTCATCCCATTTCTCTGGATTGTCTGTAAGATTTTTACTACATTTTGACTGGAGTGTGCTTTTTGCTTTGTCATGTTATGGTATGGAGTGTAGATTGATGTGAAAAAGTGCAAGCAGAAGGCTGCAACATAAAAGAATATGAAAAAAACAAAGAGGTCTGACTATACTTTCTGAATGCACTATTGAGTAAAAAAATAAAAAGTATTTTACACGTTCAAACTATATACACAAACACGCTCCCTTTGTTAATAGCACCTTTGCAATATGAATTAATCTCTTCTGTAATGAGTTCGAACATGTGGCGTATGATGAAGGTCCACAAGGCAGAATTTAATTGGTTTGTGTTTTTCATTTGATTTGCATGTCTGGCAGTGACTCTGACCTCCTTGTGGCTATAATTATCTCAGCTGACCAACTTTATAGTTTTCACCATATCTGCAGACATGTTGAGCTTTCTCAACATTTTAAATTCCAGTTAAAAAAAATAAAAAATCAAATCTATCTATCTATCTATCTATCTATCTATCTATCTGTCTGTCTGTCTGTCTGTCTGTCTGTCCTCAATGCTGTGCTTAATGCTTCTTGTTTGTAATCTTCAGCCATAGCTTTGTTAGGTCTTAAGTCTTAGCAGACGTTTTGTATGCAGTTTGGCTGATGAGATATTGTTATTATCAAAAAGCATGGAGTCTGCACACACAGTGAGTGATTTAAGAGCGCCCTCATGTGGCCATACCTACATGTACAATGTCCAGTGGTAAACATATTGTAGGCATTTTAGAATATTTTGTCATTTGTAGAATACAATTTGATTTCAGTTCTATACTTATTGTTTTTAAGTTACTGTGGACTATAAACACTGCTCAACAGTACATGCAGTGTCTCATATCTGATCATTAATTAATTAGTATTATATTTTTATAAGGTGTGCACCCACTACACCCTTTGTCTATGAAAAACCATGTACAGTGAACTGAACAATATAATTAACTTGCATGATATGAGGGGTGGTTTCAATATGCATAAAATTATATAGCTGCATATTGTTGTTGAGCTCTAGCTGTAAATGGAGGCTATAATAGATGCGTGTTTAATGAAGAGAGTTCCTGTTAAAAGCCCAGACATGAGGATGAGTTGAGATTGAAGTGCTGCATTGTCAGACTAAAATTAGCCTGTAGCTGTAGGCAGTCTGTTTTATTTGTTTATTTTAATTAAAAAGATAAGTTTATCAAAAAGCCTTCTTAATTCCCTCATTTTGTTTCAAACCTGTATGACTTTCTTTCTTCCATGAAACACAAAAGTTGAAATTGAGACATGTAGATTAGATTTGAATAGATTATTAATGACTGCTGAATTAAATATATAGTTCAGTCATGAAACTCTAGATGGTGCATTCTGACGGGGTGTTAACGTAACTGATGATATTCAGAGAGTTAAACGACTTGGCACAAGCTGATTGGTTCATGCTGCATATGCAGCCAATGAGCTTACTGCCTTGCATTTATATGGCTGGCTAGCATTCACTTGAGATTCCTGCAGAGCGCTTTCTCAGAGAGTTCTTTCAGAGAGTTGTCTGAAACCCTCCACCTTCCCCAGCTCCACCTGTATAGATCTGCTACGGGGTTATTTTATATGCTATTTGTGCAGCAGCAGTATGTCTTAAATACTCATGGCACCGTATCACCATATGCATTGGCAGTAACAAGTTCCTGTACTTGCTTGCAGCAGCAGCAATAATCTACAACTACAGCAATAACCAACAGCAGCAGCGTAGCAGATCTGTTCCGCCAAGACCAAATACATTAACATTGTCATATCCATCACTATGCTAAAATGTTCCAAGAGTTGTCATGATTGAAATACAGTGTCACATTTTTTTTCTTCTCCAGTATGTGAGATTCCAAGAAGTTTGTAGTACTCATGTTTTTCTAAGCAATTTTAGAACAGATGACACAATTTAATTGTGGTGCTCCTAATTAAGTGGTAAAAAGCAGTAGCAAAGTTTATGAGATGCAGCAGATATATACATCTGAATTTACAGTCTTCCAACTAGGGATTTGCGAAGGAACTGCAGGGACTTTGTGAGTTGATGAAAAGATAATTAATTCTATCTATGTGAAATTAAAATATATAAATGTGGCGGCACAATAATTGCAATATAGCTTAGTGTGGTTATCAAAACAAAAGCTACAATTTAATGAAATATCTGTATAGTCTGATGCTTTATGTGTTTCAAAGTGAAACCCAGCACAGTGTTCATATAGGCTACAACTCAAGTTATTGTTTCACAGAAAAAAACTATCTCCAGAAAACGTCTCAGGTTACTTATGTAACCATGGTTCCCTGAGTAGGGAACGAGACACTGCGTGACGTCATGGCTGTCGCCGGCCAACGAGTTGGTGTTTTTTCAATGTATGCTTCAGACACGGGTCACGACGAGGAGTTCCCCATAGCGACCCCTAGAGGACGCAGTTCGAAGTTCCCATGAAAGGGAACTCCATCTGTGCATGTGTTATGAGTTTAATGGGAATTTGAGAACACGATGTGCACTAGGTTAATTTTTTTATTTTTTACACGCTTTCATAATTTCTAATATTATTGTGGACAGATGTTTACAGCATTTCAGTAGAATTCTGCCAAAATAAAAGCTTGAGGATTTGATGATTAATGCTTGAAAGTTTGAATGTTTAAATGAATAAAGACATAAATATTAGTATTTGAACTTGTAGTGTAAAAAGAATCTTAATTATTACTACATTTTTATTTTTATATATTTATATGTATTTTTATTACACAGTACAATTTTTGTAACTGTGTTATTTGACACACTATAACAACTAAACAGTCCACTTTAAAGTCAACATAAAACACACACACTCATACACACAAACACAAAAAGGGAAAAAAAAATCTATTTACGTTTTTTTCACTCTAGAATATTCAATGCCTTGTTCTTTTTCAATTCCAAAAACCGTAATTTTAACAGTATTTTACGGTAAAAGTACATTAAATGTAATAACAGTTATTCACCATTTATAGTATGGAAACGTATTGTTCTTTCTGTAACATTTTTGCAGTCTTTTACTATTAAAATTGTTGTAATTTTTTTAACAGTGCACTGAGGAATTTGTCATGTCCATCTATAGGTCCTTAAAGCAGCACTATGTAACTTTTTCTGTGTTCAAAATTTGCAAAATGTATATAATGAGCGAGTACATCATGAATTCATCTTCCAAACCACGTTTTTGTCTTATTCCGAATCACTACGGTACACTTATAATAAGCACTTATATTTGGACTATTGTAGCCTGGTCGGGTCGTCACCGCTGCGGAGTAACACATACCTGCGTGAATCGCCATAGACATAAACTTAGAGAAGTAGCTCCGGTTGGAATGTTCTTCCGCGGGATGTGTGCAGTTCTGTTTATTAACCGCTAGAGCGCCAAAAGTTACATAGTGCTGCTTTAAGTGACCAAAATGAATGAACAGTTCCCAGCTGACAGGATAAAGCCGAATTCTGCGGTTGGTCCAGCACAGCTGGAAGTGTGACTCATCACACAGGTCCAATCACATCATTTCTTTAGCATAGTGTTAGAGATGGGGCTCAGGTGTGTTTCCCCTAACTCTGGCTTTAGGCAGCGCTCTGATGTTGAAATTCAAGCCAGCGGTCAGTTTGAAGGAAGTATGGCACAGTGCAGCACCCGCAGTGACACCAGCGTCTCTAACTGTCTGCAAACATAGCCATTGTTCTTCTGGGGTACACATGTACTGTACGATGGTCTTGTTGCCATGACGGCTGGTCAGCGTGTGTATTCAGCACCTCTGTTCTCATTAGAGCGTCAGGTTTGTAGAGGAG